CAGTCAGCCGTTCAGTTGTCTAGCCAGTCAGTGTCCGTTCACCCTCTGTTCACCCATTCCCTATAATAAACCTTCACCTACCTGCCAGTCCTGCGTTTGGGTTCCTTCTTCCTCGCGTCCACACAACGCCTGACAATTGCTCTCAAAACACTTATTAGACTTCTTGGTCATAATATGCCATAAAAGCAGAATACACTGATTAACACAAGGATAAGACCTACAATAAACAACATCCAATAACCCACAGTGACTAGAATTCTGCTGTATGTAGACTCATTTTCATAACTCTGACAGTCTGTGCATTGCCTCAGTTGTTTCTGAAACCTTGTGTCTCCTCTGTTTTAGTAAAAGCAGCTATTGTTCATGGTTTTTTTCTGTCAAGTTTTGCTCATGATGGGAGCAACAAAAAGAAATCAGTGCAGAATTATAAGTGAGTCTTATCAAACAGCATGTTTCTGCTTTTCATTATGTGAGGGGAAACAAAATAAATATAGGCTTATGGTGTTGATGCTGAGCTGTAGCACACAAAGAGCATCCTCACTTAGCTCCTCCTGTTCTCCAGATGGCTCAGCCTCTGTGTGGGGTGATGGTGATGGTGTCCTAGGTTGACCTATTTGCTCTGTAAGCAAACTGGTAGGGGTCGAGGGAGGGGGATAGAGAGTTTCTGGTGTGCTGCGACACTTTCCGCTCAAAACACTTCATGACTTCAGACGTGAGGGCTATAGTTCTGTAGATTACTGAAAAGATATGAACAGGAAACAGATGGATGAAGAAATTAGACAAAACTTAAGTAGATATGGAAAATATTGACAGTGTTTTACATGTGTATGTGTTATGTTTGCCTACTGGTGGTGGTCAGAGGGCCCGGTGGCGCCAGTGTCCGGCAGCCTCGCCTCTGTCAGTGCACCCCAGGGCAGCTGTGGCTACAATGTAGCTGCCATTGCCATTGTGTGAATGTGTGTGTGAATGGGTGAATGACTGAATGTAGTGTAAAGCGCTTTGGGGTCCTTAGGGACTGAGTAAAGCGCTATACAAATGCAGGCGGTTTACCATTTACAGTGGGGCAAAAATGTATTTAGTCAGCCACCATTTGTGCAAGTTCCCCCACCTAAAATGATGACAGAGGTCAGTAATTTGCACTTTTCCTGTAGCACAATGTCTTGTCCTTTGATTGTTTCAAATACCTTAGAACATGTTTCACAGTAGTCCAATGTTCCACAGCTGGTTCTTTGAAGTGCTGTGACAGCTTACTTACAACAAAACTTAAATCTGGTCGTGTGCAAGAGGTCAAGTAAATAAGGCTACCTACTGCCTCTCTGTACATTCTGACATTGTTCATTTTCTCAGCATCATCATTGTAGTTCAACCTTTGTTCACAAGGAGTTGATCTTGGTTTACAGTCTTGCATTTGAAATCTTTCCAGTATGTTTTCTACATATCTCTCTTGTGACATTTTTACACAATCTTTGCTTTGCTCAAAATCAATACCAAGAAAATGTTTGAGTTTCTCCATATCTTTCATTTTGAATCTTGCAGTTAGCATTTCCTTCACAGTTTTCAAAACCCTTTCATCACTGGCTGCAATAATAATATCATCAACCCATATGACCATGATCACTTTTTCTTTTCCGGTTTTCCTTATGTAAACACAATGATCTACAGGACTCTGCATGAAACTGTTCTCTATCAAATAGTCATGTAATGTCCTGTTCCAGTTTCGGCCTGACTGTTTAAGCCCATAAAGTGACTTTTCCAGCTTGTAGACCAGTTTCTCATCTGTTTTTCCTTTTACTTCATAGCCTTCTGGCTGCTCAACATACACTTCAAAATCTATTGGTGCATGCAAGTATGCGGTTTTTACATCCATCTGATGCAAAATCAGGTTTTCTTGTATTGCACACTGCATCAATACTCTTATGCTTGTCAGGTTAGCAGTCGGAGAAAAAGTTTCATCATAGTCTATCCCAAAACACTGGTTGTAACCTTTAGCTACGTACCGTGCTTTATATTTTTCTGATCCATCACCACTGTTTTTCTTCACATATACCCATCTACCCCCCACTGCTTTCTTTCCCCCAGGTAAGATTGTTAGGGTAAAGGTGTTGTTCTCTTTTAAGGATTGCATTTCCTCATCCATAGCTGCTTTCCACTCTCTAGAGTTGGGTGACCTTGCAGCTTCACTGAATGTCACGGGTGAGTTACTTATCAGTCTGTAACAGTAGTCTATGTTAGTCAGCACTTGATCATCAATGTCTTCTTCTGACTCATATTCATTTAGATAATCTGGTTTCTTTCTTGTTCTAGAAGGATACCTTCTGGAGTTTTCAGTCTCATCACTAAGTGGCATCTGACTGTTCACTTCTGGTTGTTTGTCAGTATCTGGTTCCTGTGAACTGGTACTGGGGCTTTCCCTGTTCACGTTTGGTCTCTCCCTCACCTGTATGTCTTCATCCTCAGATGTCGTATCAGTTTGTGTTTGCTTTTCCTCATTGTGTTTGGTTACAAACTTAACCAGCCTAAACTTTTGCACTTTGGCGCTGTCTGGGAAATAAACCTTGTATGCTGGGCTGTTTTTGTCGTAGCCTACAAAAATCCCTTTTGTACACTTAGAATCCAGCTTACCCTTGTTTTGCTTGTAAGCATAACACTCACACCCAAACTTTTGCATTCTGGATAGATTGGGCTTCCGCCCAGTCAGCAAAAAGTAAGGTGTCTGCCCTGTCCGGTTGTTAAAGCATCTGTTTCTCACGATAGCCGCTGTTTGAACTGCATACGTCCATAATTCCTTTGGTATGGCACTCTCAATAAGCATGCACCTTCCCATATCAAAAAGTGTTCTCCAGCCACGTTCTGCTGTACCATTCTGGTGAGGGGAATATGGGGCTGAAGTTTCATGTCTTATTCCATGTTTGTTTAACAATGCCTGGTAACTCTTTGCCATGAACTCTGTGCCGTTGTCTGACCTGATACACTTTACCTTCCCGAGTGGGGCTGTATCGGCCAAAAAGATTTCAGTTGCTTGCATTGTTTCACTTTTGTTTTTGAGAAAATATACAAATACTGCACCGGAAAAGTCATCGGTAAACAATAATGCATATCTGTGTCCATCTCGTGATTCTGGATCTATCGGCCCTGCTAGATCCGTATGTACCAGCTCGAGAGGTTTCTCAGCTCTCCTGTCAGGGTTTCTATTCCTAGTCTGGACAAATTTTCCCTGAATACACACCTCACAGTTCAAACTTTCTTTGTCAGTTTTCCCTTTGATTTTCATACCTTCAACCACATTTTGTAGCTTCAGAATGTCACTATGATTGCAATGTCCCAAAATTTCATGCCATGTCTGCATATCAAAACAATTATTACACTTATCATCGTACTCACTTACAGTCTCAAGGTAATAAAGTCTGTTGTGCTCATGGATGTGAAACTTTGTACCGTCTCTGTGTTGAAGGACGTTCCTTCCTTTCTTAAAGATGATAGTGGCTCCGTTCGTGGTGGCCGCTCTCACAGAGAAGATATTCTGTGGAAATGAGGGAATGCATAGGGCGTCTTTCAGTGTTGTTTTACACTGTCTCCCTCTGCTGTCAATCAAGCACACCTCTGCATCTCCTCTGCCTTCAGCCACTCCTTTACACCTGGTGCCATCAGCTAATTCCACACAGTGCGTTCCCGGCTGGAAGTCGTCATCAAATTTCTTGAACGCTGTTTTATCATTGTGTGATGTTGCGCCAGTATCCACCATCAGGCCTTTGGTCCTGATGTCTTGTGGCTGTTGAGGTGCCGCGTAGTCATCGCTCATCCGGAAGACATAGGTGTCGTCGCTCTCTGCGTTGTCGCCCTCCTCCGAGGCTGTGCGTGCTTCATCATTCCGTTGTCGTCTCCTGCAAGTCGACTCTCGATGGGTGTTGCTCCTACAGTGACCGCACCACTGTCTGTAGTGGCATGCTCTGGCCTTGTGTCCCCGTTGGCCACACTTAAAACAGACTATGTCTGACATGTCTCTCCTGTGGTCATTAGCAGCTGCTGCGGGTCTCGTGCTGGGTTGCACTCTCGCCTTCATGATGTTATCCTCTTGTTCCATTAAGCGCATTTTCTCAGTGTCCTCATAGCTGCGGAGTTTCGTTTTAAATTCCGCAAACTTGATTTCTGATTCACTTTGCGTAATGTGAACGGAAAAAGGTTTAAATGTTTCTGGTAAACCTTTTAACACCATCGCTACAAGCAGACCATCACTAAGTGTCTCTCCAGCATTTCTCAGGGCTGTAATAAATGTCTCTGCGCGTATGATGTACTCCGTGACGCTCTCACTGCTTGCTTTCTTCAGAGAAGTCAGTTCGGTATAAAGGCTGATAATTCTTGGTTTACCTTTTCCTGCATAATAGTCTCTTAAAATTTTCAGTGCCTCGCGTCCATCATCGGCAGCTTCTCTCATCACGAGCGATAAACTCTTATCATCCAGGAACTGTATTAACTCTGCATAGGCCTGGGCATTTTTATCTTCGTCATCCTCATCTTCGTCATCACTTTTCAATATTGTGTCTTTTAGACCTTGTAATCTAAGATGTCCCAAAAATTTTGTCTCCCACAGTTCATAATTCTTCTCATCTCCGTCAAAAACCAACCTTGCCCATCGGCCACTGGGTTCACCAGCACGCTTATTCATGGTGCTAACTTAGCACGCTAGTCCTCACCGAACACGCTGTACTTTGCGACTTTTCTGGTGGTAAACTTTCCCCTGGCGTACCTTCAATGTTTTCCTGGGCCCATAACCTGTTAGCAGAGACGGGTCTTCCAGCAGAATCTGCATGAATATTGAAGATACTTATATTGTCTAGACGGAGGAATAATCACACGTGGGGCATCGGCTTTTCACCGGAACAACACTTAGTTTTTATTATTGAACTCTCGCGTGCACTCTGCAGCATAACAGGAAGCATCCTTTCAAAATAAAAATCACAACAGATGACAACGAGGGCATACCTATTAACTAGCTCAACAAAATGCCTGAACCCGCAAAGTCCGCGCCCAAGAAGGGCTCTAAGAAAGCCGTGACCAAGACCGCCGGCAAGGGCGGCAAGAAGAAGAGAAAGACCAGGAAGGAGAGCTACGCCATCTACGTGTACAAGGTGCTGAAGCAGGTCCACCCCGACACCGGGATCTCCTCCAAGGCCATGAGCATCATGAACTCATTTGTCAACGACATCTTCGAGCGCATCGCTGCCGAGGCCTCTCGCCTGGCCCACTACAACAAACGCTCCACCATCACGTCCAGGGAGATCCAGACCGTAGTGCGCCTGCTGCTCCCCGGTGAGCTGGCCAAGCACGCCGTGTCTGAGGGCACCAAGGCCGTCACCAAGTACACCAGCTCCAAGTAAACTGATCCTGCTGTCAGTCAACCCAACGGCTCTTTTCTGAGCCACCCACTCTGTCCTGAAGAGCATACGTTCTACCTTCAAACGTGCAGTTACTATGTTGCCAACTACTGCAATCGCGGAAATGCTTCTTTGTCACTAGGTGCTATTGATCCGCTACATTGACCCAGACTCAGGAAATGTCTTGTGTGTGTTGTGGAACGATGACAAAGTAACTACAAATACAACATTAATGCCACTTTATGTTTGACAGTCTTTCAGTGCATTTCAATGGCTCCCCTGTGGGCGGCGCCTCCGCTGCATTTCCTGCAGGACTGAGAGGAGGAGAGCCACCTCTGTCCCCAAAGCCACTCTGCTTTTTAACTCCAGCCCTTAAGACCATTTCCCACACCTGTAAACATGAACTACTCTACACTGAAAAAATGGGAATTGGCAGGCTTTTGAATTTGCACAAATGAATTTAGTTAATGCTACACAAACCTTTCATGTTTCTCTTATTTACATGATTAAATAAAGTACCATTTACTTGATTATAAACAATACTGAGACTACTCATTTTTCTTGCATTGATTTAAAGTGACTAAATTAGAATACTAAAACCATTGTAATCATATTTGACCACAACCGGAAATGATGCAATATATTCAAAGACAACAACTAAATATGATTGGATAATAAGACCTAGAGTCTTATCCAATAAGACAACAACATAATTTAAGGAGAGCGCAATTCACCTCCAGATTCTGGAAGACTGTTTAGCCACATGCAACCTTTGGCACTGAGTCAGGCATACTGAGAAGGTAAGTAATTTAAATACATTTGTTTTAGTTGGGTACATTTTCACAGAATTGTTGTAGTGCATGCTATATGAAAAGTAATCTGTAATGCATCTGCATGTTGTTTTTACAGTGCTAGCTAAAGTTGGTATTAGCTCTGTGGCTAAAGCTGAAAAATAGTAACAAATTGCACATAGTCGGGAGAAAGCAGCTGTTGTCAGTCAGATATGGAATTTATGCATGTGACAGAGAGCACTGACGTTTTTGATGGCTTAGCAAGTTAAAACGTCACTGAGAGAGCGCAATAGTGTTTGTGTTATTCGTGCTAGTTATGGCTACAGTGGCTAATTAGTCCGGCTGTAACCGTCAGAGTTTAAGAAGCTGGGAGCCCCACAGTGCCATACCTTAATTCTTGCTGCTGACACACACTCAAGTTATACTAAGGATCCTGCCACCTTAGACGTGGGTTTGAGAACCTGTACCCATAAATGCCAAATCATTTTTCCATTTAGTTGTTTTAGGTGAAGTGTAACTTACTTGACTATTCTATTGGTCACGCCCAAATAATACAGCAGATATCTACAAGGAGATAAGTTGGTTCAACAGAGTATGTCTTATTAAGTGATGTATTGTGAATTTTCCAACATCATCCTAACAAAAATTAGGACCCTCCCCCCCTTTTTTTTCTACTTTGTGTAGAACATATGTGAGCTGCTTCTCAAAACATTGTGGATAAATGAGAAAGATTGGTACTTAAAAGAAACCATTGATGCTCTTCTGGACTGGAATACTTTTTTTCAATTAAAATTAATTTTTTTTGTGATGGTGGAATTTTTACCTTTATGATTACAGAAGTCAAAACATCAGATGATGATAGCTTACCATCTAAACTCCCCACCTCTTGGCAAGTCTGAATTAGAGGTCTCAGCTGTATCGGCCTTTCTAGTGGATTTGCTTAAAGAGGAGATAGCTTAACTCATTAGGTACATACAGTATTCCCTGACATTCTAGAGGTTGACCTTGCACAGTGTGTGACATTAAAGGGCATAACTTATAGAAAAGGAATGGTACTGGCCCAAAGGGCGGGCAGCAGGTGGATTGCCAGAATACTGAAAAACCGTATCTGCATTGTACCACAGCATATTCTACATTGTCAGAGAGCTTGGTGGCTGGTACAGAGAGCACCACAGAGCGTTTGAGCTCAGCCCAGTATCCACAAGAATATTCACTCTCGCTTCACTCTGTGAACTCCTTGATACTTATCCATTGGTTGACTATGAGATTGGATCAGTCCACATTGTGACTTTAAAAAGGCATATAGAAATAAAAGGTGTTCATATAAGTGTAATAGGTTCAGTCGCATGTATTTCATTAGATAAATTCTTCTTTTTTTATGTCTGATCTTTATAACTTTGACTATTGGGTATGGATAGCTTTATGAAAACTAAACTGAAATGATTCTTTCTGAATGTCTGATATGTAATTCTTTTTTTCCTACAGAGTCCTATGGGGAGTCCTATGGTCCTAAAGACTGTTTTGGCTGATGGAACCTGTCGAAGGCTCACTCTCTAATGGAGCGCCTGAATCAACTGAGGATCTCATCGTTGAAGTCAAGAGACAGTGTTGTCTTCAGGGCAGTTTCAGACTTCAGTTTATGGATTCCTTGTTTGGGAATGAGTTTCTTAACCTTACCTCAGTTTCAGAAGTAGCAGACAAGGGGACTCTTAAAGCTATTGACATGTCAAAGCCCACCACATGAACATAAAAAAGAGTAACAGAGTTGGTGAAACTCAAGATGGAAAAGACTTTTTCATACAGAAGACATGAAGTTGTTCGTGATGCACCAATGGTGGAGGCTTTCATGGCAAGATGGCCTGCTCTATTTGATTTCCATGAGGTAAGGTTTGCCTCATACACGGTGTTCTTGTGGTATTAGCCTAAATGGTTAAGGCACAGTTGTTATTTGACAGCCCATTTCTTCAGCATGAGTGATTGCAGCCTTCTTCCAGGTATTAAACCTTTGAAGCTCATTCCTCTGTGCTCATGTTTTCAGATCAAGGCTGAGTTTAAGAGAATTGCCACCATCCCCCCTCAAACAAAGTTCGTGGCTCGGCTGGCTCTCCACTTGGACAAACTGGTGAAGTTGGTCAACAGAAGAGGAGAGCTTGGATTAATACTGAAAAGAATTGTTGCATAAATGGATAATGTAAGTGATAAAGCCTCAACATTCACTTAACATGATCCTCTTTGGATGAAACTTTATAATTGTGGAAGATTTCAAATGTTTTCCCATGATAAATTTGTATTTGTATTTTTACATCTGCTTGTTTTTTTTAACCTTCACTTTGTCAACTTATTATTAATTGCCAGGAAACCTATTATTAATTTGTGTGCCTTTTACTTTAAAAACATTTATGTAAAGTACACTATTAAAACTTAAATGAAGGACAAGGGCTGAATGAAGATGCTAATTACATGAATTTCATTTCAGTGTGAAGAAGAGCAGGAGCACCAGCCCCCATCATGTACACTTTCTACAGAGGCACCATCGAGAGCATCCTGTCGAGCTGCATCACTGTGTGGTTTGGAGCCTGCAATGCGTCCTGTCATAGAACCCTCCAACGCATAGTGAGGGCTGCAGAGAGGATCATTGGTGTCTCTCTCCCCTCCCTCCAGGACATTTACAGCACCCGTCTCACTAAAAAAGCCCTTTGCATAGCGGCTGATCCCACGCACCCAATGCAAAGCTTCTTCAAGCTGCTGCCGTCAGGGAGGAGACTGCGGAGTCTCCAGGCCAGGACCAGCAGACTGAAGGACAGCTTCATCCATCAGGCTGTCAGGAAGCTTAACTCCCTCCCCTCTTCTCCTCCATGGTCTCACTGAACTCTGTCACATACACACACACACACACACACACACACACACACACACACACACACACACACACACACACACACACACTCCTCGTGCCTATGGTACGACAACTCTCTCTCTGACTGACTCACTGGCCTGCACCAGTTACCAGTCACTTTGTGGAGCATTGGACTGCCATTACCTCATAAGACTTTGTTGTTACACTATCTCTTACCGTACATTACTAAATCTCCATTTGCACTATTTGCCTATTTGCACTACTCTGCCTGGTTTACACTCAATGTCATTTACCCTTACCTGAATATTGTATATTGTATATTGCATAGCTTTCTTGTTAAATTGTATTGTATTTATTTAAATTTTTACTTTTTTATTATTTTATTTGCATTTTTTAATCACTCTCTTATATTTAAATGTTCATTTGCTATTTCATCTAGGGTTTGAGAGTAACGAAATTTCTATTCTCTGTATGTCCTGTACATGTGGCAGAATTGACAAATAAAGTTGACTTTGACTTGACTTTGACTTTGATGTTGATGCTGAGTGTGTCAAGGAAGTGTGTATCTACATGGGTGAAGACGCTGGCTTATCCAGGAGTATGTGGTATGTACTTGTCTTTTTTTTTCGGACTTTCCACAGTGTCATATTACTTACTTGGCATGAAATGACTAACATGGCTTCTTTTTTACAGGGCATGGAAGAACGTGCCATCAGTGAGACTGTTGAAGACACCACTGTTCAAATTTATCTTCTTAAAGAGCAAGATGAACAAGAGTTGTCCTTGCAGGCATCAGGGTGGTGAAGAATTTGGATAATGTAGCATTTGCTGTGATAATGCTATTTGGACTCATGGATGCATTAAACCTTGCCTACCCTGCTGACCTTCGCTACAACTTTGACGTTTTCTAGAAGATTTTCATGGAACTGGATGGAGCTAAACTCTCTAGAGTTCTTGCTTTCAAAAACCATCTGTTTCATTGAGAAGTCAAAGACTGCACTTCTGCAGTTCCTTGCAGTTTTTCATTTTGTGTTCATTTTTTTATTGCTTTCCCCTCATGTGACTGCAATGCAGGATGATTTTTCCTTTTGGTATCATGTTGTAAGAAATTTTTACTGACAATTTTTAGCAATATGTTCTAAGTCAACCTTAATGTCCTGCTTACATGTTTAAAATGAAGATTAAAATTCATGTAGGTGTTTTAGTTATGTAACAATGTCATTTAAGGCTCAACTTAGTTGAAATCTTGTATAGGTAAATACTTGTACAGAAGCTGAAACTGTTATCAAATAATACAGTTATATTTGTATAATTTTTGTTTATTCATAAAAGTGTGTTGCTTTTTTTTTCAGGTAGTCTTAATTTA